TGAGTAAATTTCAACAAGTTGATAAGTAAAAATTAGGCAAGTGTAGGATATTTTTAAGTGTAGGGTGGATTTTGAATTTTCAGAAAGCACCAAAATTATTTCTGCAAAAAGTACTTAGGTGCTAACTCTAATAATACTATATCTATCTATTTAATTATGACTATTATACCTATGTTGCTTTGGACATTAAATTTATTTTGTTCATATGCGTATCAATGGATTTTATTTTTTCAAAAAAAAGTAATGCATTTTTGTTTTGATGAATCAACCCATGAGTGATCGATTTTTTTTTTTAGAGATCGAGCAATGTAGGATACATATACTTTAATTGAATTTCATTTGTCAAAAAATTATATATTACGGTAAAAATACAATATCTTCTTGTTATATTTAAATCATTGAATCGACTTGATTTGAGAAAAAAAAGTCCAGTAAATCAAATTATAACACGATTCAAAATTGTTTTAGGTAACAAATCCAAATTCCCAAGAAGACAAAAATAAACAGTAACAATCCAATCGATTATTTATAGATTTGTCACTGCAATTTGCATCACGTTCATGCACCAAGTAATGTGTTAAATAGGTTTAAAATGTGAAATTTATGTTGTAAACAAAAAGATACTTTTAATTGCAAATAAGCGTGAAATTTATGTTATAATAGAACATGATTTTTCTATCTATTTCTTATATTAAAGTTTGACTAATCCAGCTTAACGTATTATAGGAAGTATTTCTAGAATCGACACTCTTAACACATTTTTTTTAAAAATTCAAAATCGAAATCTCCAATTAAAGCCTTAAAGGTGGAGGGATTCCAATAATTCCGATGCGACTCATTTATGTTGTTAAAACCAAAGAAGATTATATTATATATAACATTAAACAGCACATATTAGAACCTTATTTGAAAAAAATCACAAAGATATTATTCTAAACATTAATATCTCTTAGCATATAGTAAGGTACTGTCAAAATCAAAAGAGGTACACACGTTTAGTTCAAGTAACTATTATGATGCTCACCAGCTAGTACTGTTGCCAACTTGTTGGTTGGATAATAGCCAAGAAGATAAGTTTTAATATATATAATCGCAATAATAATATATTTAGTGTAATTTTATTCTGAAAAAATCGAGTATACGCAAGTAAATTATATATGTAAAAGGAAATATAGTAGCAATATATCCTCTTTTATCTTTTTTTTTTCCCTCTCTTCAGTTGGAGATAATATTTTAATTTCTAGGGTTTTGTATCTGATGGCTAAAGGCTAAAGCCTTACCCTACTGTGACAATAATAAATGAGGTCCTGTTGTAAAATAATAAGTTACTATATGAGTTAGTTGATGCTCTACACCCATTTTTATCATTATAGAATGCTTAATTTTATGAGAAAAAAAAACATTTTCAATTATAAAATAGATTGGATAAAAGTCATGCACGATTAAAGTATATAGCATTGATAAATAGAATGAAAAATTTAATCACCATAAAAAGGTCGAGATTTTGAGTGACGATGAGGTCTTGTTGAGAATAAAATGAAATTATATCATTATCTTTTTCTTATCGAGTATAAACTTGTGTATCTGTACATGATACGTTTTCACTAAAGAAATGTATAGATAATTTGTTTAAAGAAATTTGACTTATTCGAAAAAAATGATAAAAGACTAAAAAATTAGTTTACTATGATCACTCACCTAAAAGAATTACTAATAAAAATGAGATAATTAAGTTACTTACTACACTAGATTACAATATACTGATTATACGAATTCACAAGATCAATGTATATAATTTTGACTTAGTAGCATGTAAATATTTTAAAAACGTGAATTATTTAAAGGTTAAGGAAACATGTAATTGTATTTTACATGAAATTCACAAGTAAAATGTTGTTTTTCATTATTATATAGTATTTTTTTTCGCAGCAAATAAAATGCCGACATTGCTTTTAATTAATTATCGAGGCCCTTCAAACTAAGCTTTCAAAATTTAAATCAATCTATCCAGAGTCCGGATCCTAAAGGTACAAAATATTAATAAAACTTTTAAAACGGTATATAAAATTTTATATTAATCAAAACGGTGAAATCAATAGAACAATAACGATTTACTCAACCGGAAAAAGCAAAATCGCTACTACTGCAGCGATTTTGCAAAATGTGATTTTTTTTAAAAAAAATTCAAATCACTACCTAGGCAACTATTTTCAAACTTTTTTTTCTTTAAAAAAAAAATCGCTGCATAGGCAGCGATTTTCTTTAATTTTTTTTCTTTTAAAAATGAAATCGCTTGAATTTTTTTTTAAAAAAAATCATATTTTGCAAAATCGCTGCAGTAGCAGCGATTTTGCTTTTTCGGGTGGAGTAAATCGCTGTTGTTCCAGCAATTTTGCCGTTTTGATTGATATAAAATTTATATACCGTTTTAAAATTTTTATTTATATTTTATACCCTTTAGGCTCCGAACTCAATTTATCCACTTGCTCAATCTAGTAGTTGAAATATATCCCATTTATATGATAAATTGTTTTCGTTATTGTGTATGTTTTTAAATGCTCATTATATAACATTTTTTAGAATATATTACATTTTTTAATTATACGCATTAATGTTAGTAAATTATAATAAAAATTCAAGCTTGCTAATGTGTTAATAAAAAAAAAAAAATGTGGCATATATATAATGAATGCTTGAGAATATACCAGCATAAGAAATTTTTTAAAAATTTGAATTGAAAATATATAAATGAAAGATGAATCTTAGAATGTTGTGAATATATGTAAATTAATAAATTAAAGTTTTGTACCATAGTATATAGTAGTATCAAGTGTGGGATTGATTTTCCATGAGAACATAACGCTAACATGATGCCTGGTGGTATTTGAATATTGATTCGATATATTTTTTATTAGTATTTATTATTAAAAAGCCGAAAACGTATATTTTAATGTATAATTTTATCTTCTTTAAATAAAATGATAATGAAAAATTAAACGTTATGTTTCTGTATTATTATAAAGACTCAAACACAAGAGATACACAACACTTTTAACCCTTTGAAAGGAAGAGTTCAGTTTGATTCTAACGGGACATTATATATAGTAAATACACATTTAATATGATTCGAATGCATATATAATTACAAAAATAAATGTTTATATGGTTTATATTATAGAAATTCCACATATATCCCTTAACATGCTAGTAAAATGAAAATATCATTAAAACTAATATTATTGAAATGTGCAGTATTTTCTTTATAATTTCGATGCATGAGCGGCTCTATGCTTAAAAAAAAGGCAACTTTTATATATATCAAATAAAAAATTTATATTTGTATGGTATAACAAAGTTTACATAATTATGTTCCACAGCAAACATAAAAACTGTATAATTCGTTATACATGTACAGTTGAAGCAAATTGTATAAAACGAAGTGTATAAAACAAGAAAGAGAAAGACACTTGAGCAAAGAACCGTATAAAAACGAAGTGTATAAAACGAATTGTATTATCATAAGTATATAGAACGATTATATACAATTTGAATTTGTATAAAATGAGAAAGAGAGAAAGACAAAAGAGACTTGACAAGGAATATACAATTGAATCGAATTGTATAAAATGAGAAAGAGAGAAATTAGATACAATTTGAAAATTGTATAAAACGAGAAAGAGAGAAAGACAAAAGAAACTGGACAAGAGAGTATTTTTATTGTATAACTATAAGTGTATAGGACGAAAATATATGTACTTGCATGTGTATATACAATTTTCTCACGCTTTATACAAACAGAAACACAATTTATACATTATGCTTCTGTTTGTATAAGTGAGAAAGGCAAGGGTGTCGAGCGAGATTTGGGAGAGTGGAAAGCGGGATCTGGAAGAGGGGAGAGAGGGGAACAAAAATATATGTATTTATACAATTTTCTCTGCTTTATACAATTAGAAACAATTTTTATACACTTGTGTTTGTATAAAAAGTGAGGAAGCGAGCGAGAGATTGGAGGAGAGTGGCGAGCGAGATATTTGGGAGAGAGGCGCCTGACAATTTTTTTGCAAACGTTTGCTATGAAGCACAATTAAATCAAACTCTAACTACTCCATTTATTTTAGGTTATTAGTTTGCTATTATATGCAATTTTCCCAAAAAATAAGGCCTTTGTCTTAGACTCCTAAATTTTTGTCAAGAATAAATTATGTGTTAAAATTTTTATAGAAAAATTAATTATTTATAATAAAAAATATAAATTTTTTTAAAATAATTTTTTTTATCCACTTTAATATCTTTTGTGGAGTATTTTGTTAAAAATGAGGAAAGTTTACAAAGTAAATTACAAATTCTTTTTTATTTCTTATTAAATTTTAGTTTCAAGCATTAATCTGAGCATATTAAAATGAGGTTATACCAAGTCATCAACTTTTTGAGTCAAATTCTATTTAATATTTATCAACTTATTACTTGTATCATTATGTTAACAATACATATAATAATTGTCTCACTTAAAAATGTATTTCAATGTTGAGTTGATAAAATTTTACCTAAAACTAGTAACCGAAATAATAATATTAAGTACTAATAATTTTCATCTTAATAATGTAATTCTTTTTATAAACATGTATATAAAGTATATTTATATTTTAGGCCGCGAATTAAAATTTTATTTTAGACTCCAAATTACATTGAGTCGCGCCTGTTTCGATGTTCAGGGTATGTAACATGCATCAAGACTAACTTCACACATAGGAAATTGAATATCACTTATTATAGAATTCTTTAGATTTTGAGGATTCATACAATCACGTTGCGAAAATATCAAGGATTAACTAGCATACAATCGTAAACAACGAAAATAGAGAAAAAACATAACACGAGTATTTAATGAGATTCGATTAGGCCTACTTCTTCAAGTAAAACCAATTTTTTACGAAAATAACTTCTACAACAATAACCAAAGTTTAGGGGTCAAATATACAATACTCCAATCTTTTAAGATGGTAAAGAGTTTTTAACAAAACCCCTCATATTTAGACCCAATTACAAATTATTACTCATCCACAAAAACAAGAATTCAAAACCCTAGCTCCTCACTAAATCCTTCGTCTCTTTAAGTTTCTCTGTCCTGCAACTTTTCATCGTTGATAAAGAATCATTATTTGAGGTATGTTATCTATATTCTAATTTGTTTTAGTTTCTTTTGATGTGTAAAAATATGTGAATTTTGCTTCTTTTTCTCTAATTTTACTCAATTGCGATGTATTTTACTGTACTTTTTCTCTTTCGATCGATAATATGTTTCGATATTGAAAACTCATGTTGGATTCTGTGTTTCTGATCTAGGTTTCGTGTGCTTAGGAAAAAACACATCAATTCATTGTTTATGGCTCTTCTTGTTAAAAAAATTGAAGCTTTGTTAGTTTTCTCAGAATGGAGGGTTAGTTGAGTTGGGTTTACTCTGTTGTAATGGAATATGGTTAACAATACAAAACCCATATTGCATTCGGTGTTTTTGATTTGGGTTTCGGGTTCCACATCTTTTGCTTAGGACAGTACACATGAATTCTCTTTTTAATGTTTCTTGTTTAGAAATGGAGTGTTGTTGATTTTGAGAAGTTGTTACTCTTCCAGAGTTAGATGGTTAATTACTCGGGCTGTACTTTTTTCGTTCTTTCTTGGAACTGATTGTGTTGTAAGAAAGTTGGCGCAACGTTGGAAAAGATCGACTTTTACACGGAAGTGCTAAATCTTGGACCTTGATAGTTCGAAAAATGCCAATCCCACTTTGTTCATTTAAAGGAATGTTTTCTTTTAATTGAGGAGAAATCCTGGTTTGAAATATTGACATGTAATTGATAGGAGAACACTTAGTGTTTGAATCGAGAGCCACATTAGTTGAGAAAGTGTGCACAACTAATTATGAAGACGTTTTATCGAACATTATACTCGTTTATACCTCATGATCTACTTGAATAGTTCTTTAGTCCCTTGGGATCTCCTAAAGCCCAGTCAGGTTTATCTACTACTTACTTCTTTACTCATTAACACTACTATCTATAAAGTTGCCTCTTAGTGAGATGATATCTGGAAAATGCAAGGTCGTGCAAGTGTTGATCTTCTGCTATGGTATTTATAGTTGGGTCATATATAATAGGTCTTGAAAATATTAGAAACCAAAAGAGTTGTCCAGAATTGGCTGATGCGCAGGAGGGGCGTTGGGCTTTGATGGCTGAGCTTGCAAGTATATAATCAGAGTCCAGAAAAGCTCCTAAAGTCCAGGGTTTGAATCCTTTCTTGTGAAAGTTAAACAGTTCCACTTGTGGAGTATAGTGGATAGCCCTACCAAGGACGTAGCCAGTTAATTGGTTTTATGGTCTACTACTTAGCATAAGATTCACCACACTCCGCATGCAAAATTGTTTTAATATTTGAACTCTGGACTGCATGACATCTTCCTGGCTGTGCTACTATCAAGTAGTAAAGAATATCTTTTCCGTTTACATGCTAGTAGCCCATTTATATTCTTGATGGCAGGCTTATAAGAACACACTGCAATACAGTCATCTTAATAGTTGAGTTATGACACCTATTAACTGCAATGTAATTGTTAGTTGGAGACTCTAGGAAACCATTTAAATGTGTCAACAGTTAAAGTGCTCGCAGATGAAAAAGTTGGTGCTATGTGATGTCTGTATTCTGTTCCTTCAATTTTCTTTACCAATGTGTATACTGTCTACTGCTATTCTTTATGTCAAACTACTCTGCTGTTGCTTGGGCAGTATGGTTGTATACTGGTTTTATAAGTTGTATCTTGATAATTTGCCGCTATTGATATGCTACAGAGTAAGTAATTGAAAATGAGTGGAGCAGGAGAGAAAGGATCAACAACCAAGACTCCAGCAGATTTTCTCAAGTCTATTCGTGGACGACCTGTTGTTGTCAAATTGAACTCTGGTGTTGACTATCGAGGTTAGTCACTCTGATTTGCTTTTGCTTGTTCTTGTCGTTCTTTTAAACTTACTGTACTCTTGCGTATGCATGTTGGTTATATGTAGTTTTGTACTAAATAACACGACGAAACTCTAGTCATGTATAAGATTGTCGAATGTACTGTCCGTTCCCTATTCCATTCAAGCTTTGCATTAAAATACTTAATAAGTTAGTAACAGAGCTGCAGCTGATATAGTCCTTGAGATTTGATTTTTAACACAGAAAGGAAGTTTTATTGTTGTGAAAGTAAGTGTAGTATTTTTGACATTTCAAATATTAATTGGTCATTCTTGTATTTTATAGGTTACCAACATTTGTTATTGACTGTTAGTTGTCTGCATACATAGACTAAACTACAGACTGGACCAATTTATGTGTAATAACCATTTGACTGATGTTAAAAAGATATTCTGCTTCGTAGGTACTAGGTACAAATTGTTGTAAAATTTACCTCAAAAGCTGGTCTTGATTGTAGGTATCTGCGACATGCAATTTATAACCATGAAACAGAATCTATTTAGAAAAATGAAGAGTGTTTTTTCATCTGGCGTTCTCTCTCATTCACAGAGCAAAGAAATCAGGCTTTTTGCCTACCCAAGGGCTTGTTGCCCTGCAACCAATGCATGTGTAATGTGAAACTTATCCACCTATTTATCTTAGCCACCAGCGATAATAACTGCTTGTGAACCTCCAACTTTTTACCTGTGTGCTTACATCTTTAGGTAGAAGTTCTCTTGAGAAAGTAAATGCACTCTACCTAAAACCTGTGCTAGTCCTTATTTGCTTATTGCTTATGCTTTTTTCCCGGTGGTAGTTCATTTCTTCACAATTCATGACGAGAAACTCAGTTTAATTTCATTCTAAGTTTGTTATTGCTTGGTGCAGGTATCCTTGCCTGTTTAGATGGATACATGAATATAGCAATGGAGCAAACCGAAGAATATGTTAATGGGCAATTGAAGAACAAATATGGTGATGCTTTCATTCGTGGAAACAACGGTAAGCAAAAACAACTAGCTGCCAACCTTCGTTTAATATGCATGTGCCTCTAACGATCAGAATGTTATATTAAGAGTTTCTCTGCTTGCAGTGCTTTACATCAGCACATCAAAGAGGACACTAGGGGAGGGAGCTTAAATCACGCACAAGATTGACTGGCCTTGGTTATCCTGTCTACTTTGATTATGTAACTGGCCTTTCTTCAACATGTTGATGAAGTTCCCTCTTAATGTTGTAATTTGTGTAGGCTTTGGTTCAGTCATGGATGTTATCTTTATTGGCTTTTGGTATAGTGAGTCAATGACATTTTTTCGCATTGCCAAGATCAAGAAACAGTAGTTTCTCGTCGTTGATTTGAGTTTTTGTTGAGTATAGTTTGATGCTGACTTTGTTTTGGATAATAGATGCATATATAATATACTTGCCTTGAATTCTGCAAGAGTTAAATTCTTCTTCCTCTACCTTGAGATATCTCAATGGCTTTGCAATTTTAGCAAATGGGAATATTTACATTTTCTATGAAGAACTTAGAATGTAAGATATTATATATTATATTCTTTCTTTCTTTCTTTTTTAAAATGAAAAAGTAATGATAATGATTCTCCTTGCATAAAAGGCAAGTATTTACATTGTTTAATCCCTCAAGTTTAGTTGTGTAGTTGGTTTTACCAAAAGTACACCATTTTATTAATTATAGCCAGTCAAAGATCTCTTTATCCTTTTTAAAGTGTCCTAGTCACAAACTGTTTTTTTGGATTGGTTTTCTTTGAATCGATAGTCTATATTGTGAATAGTTTCTCTATCTTTAAGGTAGGTATACATCTTGTGTTCTTTATACTTCACGGTTTATTGAAAACTGTCCTCTACCTTTGAGGTGTGGATACTTTTTACATTCATATATACTCTTTGAATCTTATGATCTATCGAAAACAGTCTTTCTACCTCTAAGGTAAAGCTAAGTCTAACTTTCATTCTATAATTTCTGGACGTCTTGATTCATCATAAACAGCTTCTCTACCTTTGAGATTGGAATAAGGTTCGTGTTCACTCTATATTCTCCAATACCTTTATGTTCACTCTATGTTGTATGGACCTCACTCTGTGAAAATCTAATAGTATATTTTAGTAACTTGATGAAAAGTTTTGCCCATAGCTTAAGGAATATATATATATATTTATATATATACTATTCCTACCTTCCAAGCCTCATTTCACATCCAAATTGATCTCTTTTCAAATATAAATCTATTATAACATTCTCCACCATTATTACCTTATTTTTCCATAATCTTCAAATTATGGTGTTCAAGAAAATTGGTGAAGGAGTTCTCCATGTCATGAGTGAAGCAATCAACATACTTGGTCTACCCTTCCATGGTCCGGTTTTTATTCAATCTTACTATTTACTTACCTGACTAATCGAGATACATATATACTATAAGATTTATTAAGGGGAAAACGCTCCATACTAGAGATATAATCATATAATTTCAAGATTTTTTGTATTCGTATTCATCGTGTTATGTAGAACGATCGTTTTAATATTATAATCGTTTTTTTTTTGTAATTTATTTTGCAGGAAGAGACGAAGAAATTGAAGATGAAATAATAGAACTATGTTATGACAAATATTTTAGAACCACAATGGCTGATTTTTACCATTCAATTTGCGATGCGGTCGAGTAAAATAGTTATTTCATATTAATCAAATATTCCATTTAATGTGATATATTATAGTCTAATATTAACTTTTTAAAATATATTTTTTTAGAGAAATTAATAGAAGGAAGGGACGTACACAATTCAAGATTCCAAGCACTGCAGCTATAAGACGAGTATATCTAGTAAGTTATTTTGCGATTTTACTTCTATAAATTTTGATTATTTTAATAACATTAAAAATGATAGTGATTAATCGCAGTGATTACTTGAGCAGTATTATAACCTCTTATATCGAGTAAAGTTCAATGACGATACGTGGCTATTTAATTACCCTTCTTATCATTACTAAAAATTAATTTTTTTTGGCAGAAGCATAGTGTGAAAGGAAAGAAAATGACAAAGGAAAAATTTGGATTATGTATGCATGAACTATATGGTGAAAGTGGAATTACTGGATTTGGAGCAAAAGAAACATTATATTATTTATTTGGAGTACCAGCCACAGCATTATTCATAAAAAATAAAATAAAACCACAAGCAATTTCTGATAATGATTTTATTCCTGGTGTTACTTCTGCTACTGTACTTATTCTTTCTAAATTTAATAAAATCTAACAAATTCAAGAAAACAGTTAATTTCTTGAAATTGTTAATGATTTGAATGTGTATATACAATTGCAATGAATCTTTCTCTTATGATTTGATTTCGATTATTTGTTTAAGTTGTACACACTGATGATATTATAAAACATATTTTACACAATCATACTATACATGGATAAATATATACATAGTCGCAGAGTCATATTTAGCATTTTTAATTTATCTGTGTTAGGTATTTAGAAAACGCAGCTCACTCGGTTCTTTTGGTAAGTAAGTTACTTATAACATAATTTGATCTAAAGTTAGCTGAGTTTTATAGAAACCGGATAATTCAGCCTCTGTCGATAGATAAAAATAGAATTGTTTCACCCTTAATTAGAATTTACAAATTCAAATCGTTATAATAGAAAAAAGTTTCTTTAATAGACCTTACGCTACAAGAATTTAGATGAGTTGAAACACTATCGTGACTTTGCAAAGTATTAAACACCCTATGAGAAATGAAACAACGAAACTATAAAGTGGTAACTTTATAAATGTGACAACTAATATGTGTTTAAACGAAAACTTTAGTAATACAATATGTATAATTTAAATCTTAGCCTGTTAATTAGGTATTTTTCAAGAGAAGTTAATGATATTTAAATATGGAAAAATTAGATAACACTAAACTCTCTCATCCTTCCAAATGTCATAAAACTTCAATTTTTTTTAGCTGTTTTAACGCTAATTTTAGCAGAAAAAGTCTTCTCTATGAACCATCCAAATAACACAAAAAATGAAAGAAAAAAAAACCTTTGTTGACCCAAAATTTATACCAAATAAATCTTTATACATATGATGATCGATTTTATGTTTTTTTGGTTTCACGTAGTGTCTGATGTTAGTATGTGAGTCGAGTTATATCTGAATCACGTATTGCATGACTCATTTTAGAGATGAAACTCGTAACATAATTTTCTACATAATCAATTCTCGAGCTCGAGACATTGTATCCCTCTTATTCTTGTAATATTTTCAATCCATCCACTAGTTGATTTTTTTCCAATTGCATAGGGGTATTGTTTTCTAATGAATTAGGCTATAGTTGGCCCCATTTTGACTTGCACTCTCACATGTTTAAGTCCTTATTATCCAAGTAGACAATTTTTTTTTGTATATATATATATTCCATAAATCATAATAATTATTAAACACACCCCCACCCCCCACCCAAAAATAAAAAAAATTTAGGCAAAAATGGTCAAAATATGGACAAAGATTGTGAACGTGATTTCTAATTTTGTTGTTGTCTCCTTCATTACATCAAAAACTAGGAAAATAGAAAGAGAGATAACAAATAGAGATTAATTAATTTTGTATCTAATTTGCATGTCCATGCATGATCATAAACAATATAACATTTTGTCAATGAAATAAAAAAAACAGATCAAATCATTAGTTTTTGATTAATCAGAGGGAAAAAAAATGTGAAGATCAAGAAGGAATTGAAAAGTGAGATATATATATATATCATAGGCGCGTTCGTGCCCAGAGACTAGTATATGTATAGAGATGAAGGCGTGGGAGGCAACTATAAGGATAACACAAGCTGCAACAAGAAAACGTGCTAACACGATATTTTGTACACAAGGTTCATCATCACCACCAACAGAGGAAGAAAATGAGCAACAAGATGATCACATTTACGCGAATGGTGAAATTTTTCATGCTGAGAGGTTTCTCCCAAACGGTGATTACTATAGTGGTTATTGGCTTGACAATTTCCCTCATGGACAAGGTAAATATTGGTGGACGGATGGATGTATGTACGTTGGAGATTGGTTTCGTGGAAAAACTATGGGGAAAGGTATGTTTAGTTGGCCCTCGGGGGCAATGTACGAGGGGAATTTCAAGTCTGGATTTATGGATGGAGATGGTACCTATACGGGGCCTAATGGCGATACCTATAGGGGTGGTTGGATCATGAATTTGAAACATGGACAAGGGGTTAAGGAGTACGTTAACGGAGATTGTTATGATGGTGAATGGTGTAGGGGATTGCAAGAAGGACAGGGGAGGTATAATTGGAAAAATGGGAATTATTATGTTGGTGAATGGAAAAATGGAACTATTTTTGGTAAAGGTAAAATGTATTGGACTAATGGAAATGTTTATGAAGGGAATTGGGAAGATGGATTTCCTAAAGGAAATGGTACTTTTAAATGGACTGATGGAAGTTTTTATGTTGGAAATTGGAGTAAAGATCCAAATGAACAGAATGGTACATTTTATCCATCTACTTCATTGTTAGAAACTGGTAATCTTGAATGGGATCCTCAACAAGTGTTCAACGTCGATTTGGTAGAATGTACTATCTGTCCACCTGAGAAAGTTCCTATTTTGCCTTCACAGAAGAAACTCGCGTTATGGAGGTCATCTAAGGCTGTTGACAGCAACATTAAGCCTAGGAGGATGTCGTTGGACGGGAGAATAGATGCACCTCCTGTTGATAGGGAGTTTGGTAGAATTCGTTTATCAGATGTTGCAGGAACTTCAGCTAGTTATTTGGACGATTCCATCGTTGGCTTGCAGGATGCTGATGGATATTTAAGAGGTAGTCCTATAAGAATTCCTAAAGTTGTTAAGAGACAAGGCCAAACTATTTCTAAAGGACATAAGAATTATGAGCTTATGCTTAATTTGCAGTTGGGAATCAGGTAGTAAATTTAACTCGTTTTTCGTCTAATTATATTAGTAAATGTACAAGTTACTTTGTGTTTGTTGTGCATTTTCAAAGCTCAAAGTTGTGATGTAACTTATCGATAGGGTATCAGTGGGACGGCCTGGTCCTCCACCATCACTAGATCTCAAGCCATCAGCGTTTGATCCTCGAGAGAAGTATTGGACTAGATTTCCAACAGAAGGATCCAAGATAACGCCCCCTCACCCGTCTTGTGAATTCAGATGGAAGGATTATTGTCCGAAAGTTTTCAGGTAAGGTTTTTATTTCTATTACTTGTTGAAAATGATGACTTTAGAACACGTTGAAAGTAGTGATCATCGATTTTGATGTTCCTCAGGGCATTACGGATGCTATTCAAAGTGGATGCAGCTGATTATATGATATCGATTTGTGGTAATGATGCTCTCCGAGAGCTTTGTTCCCCTGGAAAAAGTGGAAGTTTTTTCTACTTGACAAACGATGATCGATATATGATCAAGACAATGAAGAAGGCAGAAACAAAAGTAAGTCTCTTGATAACTGCAATTATTTTCTGCAAAGATCAGTACTTCCCCTTCTGATTTTACTTGCCAATGGATTTGTTAGGTGCTATTAAGGATGCTTAGCGCGTATTTCAATCATGTTCGCGCTTTTGACAACACCCTTGTGACTAAGTACTATGGCCTGCATTGTGTGAAGCTAAGTGGACCAGCACAGAAGAAGGTATCAGACATAAAGTACCATAACAGAAGTCTAATACAGTCAAATCTCTCTATAACGTCATTTCTCTGAATATTTTTTGGCTGCTATAGTGAATTGCTGTTATATGAAAAACGGCTTTAAAGAAAACTTGATGTTTATAGTGAAATGTTGTTACAGAGGATGACTATTATACAGAGGTTTAACTGTGGTTGTTCAATGTGAACAACTTTAATATATTCATGAATGGTTTTAGGTACGATTTGTTATCATGGGGAACCTCTTTTGTACAAATTACTCAATTCATAGACGATTCGACTTGAAAGGATCAACATTTGGAAGAACGACAGATAAACCAGAATCCCAGATTGAAGCAACAACAACCCTTAAAGACCTTGATCTCAACTTCATTTTCAGGTTACAAAAGACATGGTTTCAAGAATTCCGAAGGTATGGAACTTTCATGTCGAATAATGTAACTATCCTCTGACATTTGAGACTCTCAACGTTTCATTTCAAGTGTAAAACAAATGTCAGTAAATGATTTTCGCGACATTCTGCAGGCAAGTTGATAGGGATTGTGAGTTCATGGAACAAGAGGGAGTGATGGACTATAGCCTTTTAGTTGGTATTCATTTTAGAGAAGCAGATAGTACTGAAGATCAGACATCTTCTGGTTCTGGAACACCTATCGGTTAGTTCTAACTTCATTTCAATCATAACAACAATTCCTCCGTTTCAATTTATTTGTCTTACTGTCATTTGTTTTCAACTCGTTGCAGATAATGGAGGCTCGGAAAATGAAACAGTTGCTCGTGTCTCTCGAGCTGATATGGATCAGTTGCTTCTTGATAAGGAAGGGTAAGTTTTCAATCCCCTCATAATCATCTGGTTACTTGCACTATATGTACTTGCTATTTGTAATATTTAAGTCACTGAACTAACTATTTATACGTCGTTTCTTGATCTTTATGTCAAAAATTGCAGATGGGCTAGCATAAAACTAGGAATAAACATGCCTGCAAGAGTTGAAAGGACAGAGAGGAAAGCTACAGAAGCGGAAACTCAGCTAGTTGGAGATCCAACAGGAGAGTTGTATGATGTGATACTGTTTTTCGGGGTCATAGACATACTTCAAGACTATGACATTACAAAGAAGCTAGAGCACGCATACAAGTCTATGCAATGTGATCCAAACTCTATATCAGCAGTTGATCCAAAGGCATACTCAAGGCGTTTTCGCGATTACATATTCAAAGTTTTTATAGAAGATAATTGACATGAAAGTTATAAAGAGGGCTTCAAGCTAGCATAGGACTAAAGTACTATTTGTTTGTTGTTTTTGGAAATTATTTGCAGTTGAAGCTTAGAAGGAGAGAAGAACATATATATATATACACACACTCTTCCTTCACTGCATTTTATAGGTATACACAAAATACAGAATGAGTTACTATTGTATAAAAGAAGTTGTAATAGATATGTTGCTCAGAGTCTCCAGAAATGTTGTCGGATCCTTCAAAAAGGAACTACTTTTTGGAGGATCAGGCGATATTCTTGAAGTGTCCGAGCAACACAGGTAACCGAAGCAACACAAATGTGACTTTTAAGTTGCATAACTTACATGTATGAAAATTTGTTGTTTCAAGGTATTTGCAGGGAATTAAGGATGGATTTTAATGTAGAATTTAATTAAATTTATCAAAGTTCCATTTACTAATTCATTTGGGCTTCTTAATCATTTAGGTTTAGTATGATTCATAAACAAGTTTTGCTGATACTTTTATTATCCTCTAGAAATGTGTGAAGAACAGAAGGAAATGATCTGTCATGTCCATTTACAGTTTGATTAGAAAAAAGAAGACATTATAAGATCATATCTCATGTGTTATTGCTTACAAAGTTCATGTTGATAGATATGTCACCTGGACCTAACTCCATATAAGGAGATCAAAGGATCCCACACGCGTGATATACTGGATCATCTCCTCGTAAGACATGCTTAGCTAGCTCAAATATGTTGCCTTACTAGGGCAAACTAACATTTTGGTCAACTTAATGTAATCACCATGATTCAGCATTAGGTATACAAGAAAGAATGAGAACTATAAAACTTTCTTGATTCAACTCTTTTAAATTTACTTGGTTTTCTCCATTGAACCATCAAGAATCAAGAAACTTACATGCATATCAATGATGCAAGTCTAGCAGAGAAGTACAATGTCTAATGCCAAATGGCTAGAATAACAGCAATGACTAAAAGTAGTAGCAGCACACCATCTCCTCCTGGCAAGACGCCTAACCTGTCGAAAAATTAACACCAGATAAAATGTTAGTAGAATTTCATGCTATTATTTTGCAGTTTATTAGACAACAACATAATTGGTTTCTTATTTCTATAGCATGTCTCTTTCTATAATTACTAGTGGTACTATTGGCATACCTGAGCTTTCTCCTGGACTGATAAATGTACGTCATCACCGGAGGAAGGATGCCAAACAGAAAGCAGTTGGCGTAGATCCCAGCAAAATCAAGAGCTCTTGAAAATGTAGAGGGAAAGAAAGAGCCAATGAGAACTGGCAAAGCTAGAACAAAAGGAATCACAAGGCTTTGTAAAGATTCAAAACCAGAGTTCACTCTATTTTCTGAAGCATTATCATTTTTAGTTCCACTATAAGAAACTTTCCCTTCATTTCCAAGATTTTGCCTCAACTTAAATGTGGCTGAACCAACTTTGCCTACTACTCCTCGAGCTGGACTGGGAATGGAACTGGAACTACTAAAGATCAAATCCAAGGTATCGACAACCTGTTTCGGAAAGCTAACAGCATATCCTATCAAGCTTGTGGCTAATGCTGAAAATGCAAAACCTTGAACAGCTGGTAGAGCAGAGGAATTGACAGAGAGCAAGAGTGAGATTGGATCGCTTGAGACAGATGAAGCATTGTGACTAGAAAGTCCCAAAACAATCAAATTCCATGATAGTACCATGACTAGAGGAATAGTCCCACCTAGCATTATTGCTTTTCTAGCATCGTGTACAGTGTTTCCAGCAATTTTACAAATAAAAGGTGTGATTACATGGAATCCCATTGTAAGCACAGCCACAGGAATAGCAGGCAAAACTGATGAAAATCTCCAAGAAGCAAATCCAAAAGAATCAAGAATACTCATTCTCCCAACAAATATTCCAATTACAACTAATGTTGTTATGGAGAAAAACATAGTAATGCATAGGCATCTATTCGCTACATCAATAACATGAAAAGGTAACAAACAAAGAACTATCCCGACTAGTGATGGAAACAGTCCATTAGCAAGAACATGATTAATCTTGGGAAACCACTGAGAAATAATTGAACCAATTCCTGAAACACAGGCTACCAACAAAGCAAAAGTTAGTGAACCATAAACCAAAGCAACAAAAGACCCAAGTTTACTTCCTAATGCCTTGGTTGCAAGACTAGTAAAGCTAACTTCATCAACCCCATCTTCCTCCATAGCTGCAAAACTAAGCTCTGCCACAAGAATGATAGAGGAAATAACATAAACCCAAGTCAACAAAAGAGATATGGTTGATGGAATTGGACCAGATTTTACAGTTGCTGCAGGTAATCCCAACATTCCTGGCCCTACAGCAGTACCTACAATCAACCCCACAGCACCCCAAAAGCTTTTTTCTTGAACCACTTCAATCTTTTCTTCAATATTGCAACTTCTAGGTTCATCTACATCCAAAGCAACAGCTAAAGATTTGTGCTTTACACATAAATTATGACCTATAGTGGGATTAAAGAGCCCTTGCTTAAAGGCTGGAACTTTTGACCTTTTACCATTAGCTATACTCTTGGTATGAGAATTAGGGTGGCTGAAAAATTGAATCTTGAACTGCTGAGAAACAAGCATTTTTCAAAATGTCAGATACCCAAATAATCTTTTTCTAGATTCCTCAAAGTCAATCATTTATCAGTGTAAAAATGAGTTCTTCCTGGCATTTGACATGTACCATAGAAAGAAGAACAAATTTCAATGGATTTTTTTATCAGCTATCAAATATACAAACAAATGGGGTTGTGAAAAAGGACTAAAGGGATAAGAATTGAAAAATTAATTGCAGAAAATGAAAAAGTGTTAATACTGAGTACTGACTAATTACAGCTTCCATAAACAGCCTGGCCCTTAAGCTGAATATTCCGGCGGCGGTGACAAGTTTATGTGAGGGTTTGGAATCATTCTTGCCTAACCACGTGCTAAAATTACTAATGTTTTTTATTTAAGGAGAATCTTGTATGATTCCTGGACCCTACCAAACAGACCACCTAAACTTCATAGGATTTCTTTTTTTGGTGGCTATTCTTTGCAAAAACTATAATTATGTTTATTCCTACTTCTTTTAGAGATGTCATTCAAATACTCAAATCATTTGGAGTTCCCTTTTATTTATTTTCTCTTTAGATTTATATAAAATTGAACAAGTATATATATTACGTGACCTATATCATATATTATTATAAGAGGGAACCAAAAAAGTTAAAAGTTAAATTACGATTTTACCCTTATTATAAGTTAAAATGATATAAAAATATTTAATTTAAATATTTAATTATATTATTTTAATAGAAATATTAATGACTTTTGCACTTCTTTAGATTAATTCTTAATTAAAATATCTAATTTAATTTATCTTCTTTAAATATTTACCCTTTAAATAGGTACATGTATATGGTTTGTCTTCTAGATTAATTTATGTTCTTAATTAATATTTATTTTTAATTTTTGTAACACTTGACCTTTCAACTTTGTAAGTTAATCTTAATATTCCAAAGCTATATTTTTTCCTATAAATACAATCTTTTGATGTTACTTTTATAGAAAGATTTACATGTGTGGAAGACTAAAGAAGTTTTAATCAAGTGAAGAAAATTTCAAGGCAAGAGGATTTGTGTCAAGATTACAAGGCATAATGTGATTATAGGAATGAATGTTAATTACTAAAATATCGAAGCTTGATGTATTTATTTATTTTTACTTATTTGTCGAGATCAGAACTATGGTAAAACCCCTCCATTTATGTAGTTGAATATCACTTCCATAAACTTGTCTTCCAAATATTTTAATTTTTTATGGTCAAAAGTTGAATGTTGATTACTATAACTTTGTTTCTATTTGCATTATCAAGAAAAAACAGAAAAAAGATTGTCTTAGCATTTTTCTATTTTTCGTTGGTTGCGTTATGCTAAACTTGCTCCTATATATGATACTTTTTCTTTGTATTTGTAATTTTGTTTTAAGAATATATTTGATTGAAGGTTGTATTTTTTGCTTTAGAAAATGAGACAAATACAATCATAAAAATAGTGTATAAGACATGCAGAACAATTAATGCTTACAAGATATTCTAATTTCAAATATTAATAATTATATTTTTGCATTTTAAATTTTAAATATTTGTAAAGAATCATTCTTACATGTGCTTGTGGATAAAATCTATAGTTTTTCGACAATTTTCATTAAAATTATCATGAGATTCAAATTTCAAAGTCGAAAAAATGATACACCAAAATGCTTAAGAAGTTAGAAGATCTTTTTATCCTTTGACCAAATATTGCTCCTATTATTTTTTTAACAAAATAATGTAAAATATATTTCAACAAACTTTTAATTGTAAGAATACTAATATTGTCATTTTGACTCTCCATTAAATTAAAATCTGATTTATTTAATTAATATTAATATTTTATTTGTATAATTACATAATTTAAATATCAATCATTGCACTTTAAATCTTAGTTATTTTCTTCTAATAAGTTTTTTATTTATAAATTTTAATTACTTAATTGCATTCTACTTAATGAGAAGGAGAATTTCATCTTTTATGAATTAATGTCAAACATTTTATCTTCTTGAAATGTATAAATATTAATTTAATTTCAACATTTTTATGTGACAAAAAAGACATTTTAAGAAAGTTAATCATAAGATAGTGTGCCTCCATTTTTGTTTTTACTACTTTATTTTATCTTTTAAAACAAATATATAATTTATATATCAAAATTATAATAAAGGGAGAACTAAATGTAAAAAAAAATCTTCAAGTTAATCGTTAAATTGTTTATCGTTTTATTCATCGTTATGAAGTAACGTGCAACGCACGTGTCCATATACTAGTAACACATACACACAAAAAATATATATACATTTATCTAATTTTATACAAATTTAAATACCTATTTGAATAAGCTCAGTACTAAAAAAAAATCATATAAGTACATGTTATGTCAATCCTTTAAACAAACTTAAAAAGGCTACTGGAACTTAATAGAAGTATACCAACATTAAATTTTTATTTAAACTAGTTGATACTTTGATATCGTCTATATGGATTGCATGTATCCGTTAGTTTTTTTTTTAATAACCATGATGTATGAGTTAGCTCTTAACTAATTTCACGAGATATATGTCACCTCCACCAGCAAGTACTATATGACTTTGTCTATGAAAGCTAGGCGAAATGGGAAGAATCACCTAATGTTTTTTGTCTCCACTCACGATTCTTAACCATTTTATTGACCACTAAATCGCACCTTTGATTGGATGCCTAGTTTTTTTTTTTTGAAACATAAAGAGTCAAAGATATGTCATGTTGTTTGCTTTTGGGCATTGAATGATAACAACAAGACTAAGGTTGCTAGATATACAAAGACTTGAGTTAGTGTTCAAAATCTGTTATTTTTCACACTTTTTTTGGTTCAAATAACACACAAAATGTATTCTGGGAACGTCGTAAAGCAACCCCACGATGTATATAACTTTGTTAAACTACTATGAGAGGTAAAAGGCAAGTGAAACCTCAATAGTGCTATGGCCACTTCTAAAGCTGTACAACTTCAGTTCTCACAAAACCCAAAACAGAAATCTGTGACTACTGACCGACTAATGATCCTAATAGAGCCGCAAAAATTGGTTTCTCTGTGGAGCCTGGAAAGGGGCCGGGGAGAGTAGCAGGGACCTTCGGCTTGCAGTGTGACACTAGATGAGCATATAATTCCCGAAATTCGTCTGATCTGTAGGGTAGTTGACACCAGAGTTCTTGAAATCTTTGCTTCAAAATCAGCTCGAGTTGTCAAAAATAACCTGCATAATGCATGGCGTGTTTAACCATCTAAATAGTAATGGCATTTGCAACAAATTAGAAAAAACATCTCAAGTGTGAAGAAATCTACTTGCCTTGGATATTAGGGGTTTGGCGTTTGCTTCCCACTCTGTTGCCCAATTAACAGAAGATCTGCTTGCCAATACTCCCTGTCTCAGCGACTTCAACTCATCACATTCACCTGGGAATCCCTTAAACAGCGTCTGCCCAGGCATTCACAGTTTAGCAAATAAGATAGAATATTCTCAGGAAGTAAGCTCACCGGTTGACTCTAGGAATAGCTAATGGCTAGAATAAGGTATACAACAGGTTCAGATATTCAAGTATGAAGCATAAAGCGTTGGAGGGGATTGATACTTGATAATGAATATTATGGCAATATCTTGTAAACTACTGAATCTAATAAAATCTACAACGTAAAACAAACATAAAAGTTCAAAGAAAGAGGAGATAAAAGGTCCATTTCTGTCAGTTTAGGAGTTTACCACAAATTGATCAGCCAGTTCCGAGGATGAAGAGAAGAGTAGGCCATTCTTGTCAACTTCGACCAGCTCGTTGATACTTGATATAGGGCAGTGAAGAAGGGTCAACATGCAACTTCTCATAGTATGTAATTTTTTAAGACTTTCAAATGTCAAGACCATGTGAAATGAAAATGAAGAGGAATACATGCATCGTACCAAGAGTAGGAAACAGCACAGACTGGTAATCCACAGCCAAACATATCCACAACCTAAAAGGAATATACAAGAATGAAACCTACTAAGAAGTCCTGACCATACATGAGAGAAAAAATGACTTTTGCTTTTTAAGAATGTAGAGACAAAACCTTCATTGGAAGATCCAACCCTGAAGAGGACGTATGCAAGCAAACACCAAGATCTGCTGATCCTATACAAGGGAACACAGGATTTGAGACAATTTTAAGGTGAACACAAGAAGATGACAACAGATCGGTAGCTCATACCAAGAAGCAATGGGTAATCCTCTGGCTCTAACCACATAGTACGAAATGCTACACGTTTAAGGTTGAGTTTTGCCATCTTTTGTTCATATTTTTCCTTTTCAGGCCCTTTACCTTCAAAAGAAACCAAAGTAAAGAAAAGCTTATGCCTATCAAAAATAAGAAGTAAAATCCCTGACACATGAGCAGCAGTTACCTGTAATTATAAATAATAATCTAGGGTATTGCTTCCCACCCTTGATTTCCTGCCAGAAAACATCCTCCCTCTTCAAGTCATCCTCGTTCAGCAATGCAGAAACCCTTCTATCATACATTAGTGCTGCTTCTAAGAGAATGCTAAAATCTTCATCCGGAGTCCTAAGAACCAATAGAATAATGTCATGTAGCTATCACCGAAAGACAACTATTTTACCATCTTTGAATTTTGAAATAGGAGCATGAGAACTTTCTCAGCACATGGTGCAAATAAGAGACACATTGTTGATTTTTTGTCCAATCATCTTGCCCATCATTTCTTGATATTCACAAGCATCAAACTGATAGTGATTAAGTTTGCAGTATTTAAAGAAATGGACCTTGGGCTAACTCAACCCAAAAACTAGCTCATGAGGAGAGGAGTGTCAAAGACCATGTAAGAAGACCAACTCCACATCCCATGATTGATGTGGACAACTTAACACTATAGATCACCACTATCAAGTTTGGAATTTTGTAAACCAAGATGAAGATTAGGGTAAAAGATATCGAAGAAGAATGTTTATTCTCTGTGGACAAATTGTGTGGTAAAAGAAAATGTAAGGTTCACTGTGCCAGAACATAATAGGATGTTATATTAAGTTTACAAACAACTTACCAGCTTGTACTGCTTACAATGAGCGCTGGTCTGTTCCACTTCAAGGAAATATCTGTGCCAGTCTGAGTTGTAAATAGAGTTACATTAGGGTTGTCATCGTCTGGTGTTAGTTCCTCTGCAAATATGCCAGATTCATATCAATTCTTCATCTAAAACAGTCAATCACATGGAAATTCTCATTACAGTACGTACCATTGCTAAGACAGTCTTGAAGGCTGTAAGGTGTTCTCAGACTCTTATCAATCCCACAAAACAACTGCAATTGACACTTGAAGGTTAAAACTATGAAGTATAATGTATTGACTATATAGGGAAGCTTTGTTGTAGACAAGATAATTCACCTTGTGCTTCTCCTCCAGGGAAGCAGGTTGAAAAAAATCAGGAGGTTGATCATATAGAACAGTGGCACTGAGAATCCAGAAAGCAATGATGCACAAGTCAGTTAACAAAGAAAATCAGATTGTTAGATATTCCAAGTAGCTCAATGGCCTACCTGATTCCCCAGTTTTGAGACAATTCATGTTGCATTGCCTTTGTCACACATAAGGAACCATTAGCCATTTTCCCAAAATGCTTCTCAATCCTATCCAAATACCCAAATTCTGTTTTACTTGCACAGTTCACAAACCAGATGCTAAACCCAAATGGAGGTTTATAACTTACGAGGATGAACAAATTACCAATGATATAAAGCCACAAACCGACTATTCCTCCCGAGAGACAATGCTAGAAGAGTATATCCAAAGTTATGCCAATCTATAATGAACGCAGAACGTCTAATCCAACTGGCCAATTTTACAGCAACCAGTGTAGGAACAGATGGTGGATTCTGGCAAAGGAGTAATGCTATCATTAGTTGATATTTAAAGCTCAAGCATGACAAATCGGATGGACGACTTGCATCAATCATAACTCAATTCCCATCTTCTCTAGTGGGAGTTCTGATCCTGAATAACTAAACAGGGCTAGTGAGGATGCCCTAATTGGACATTCCTCAAGAACTTGGGTGGATCATAACCACAATCCAGGTTCAGCACCCACTAGATAAAGCATTTAGAAAAATATGGAAGAACCAGCAGTTCAAGCACCAATGAGAAAGCAACCACAGAGTTGGCACAGGTTCTGGTTAATTTTGAGGAGAAAAACAAGGCCTGTCTTTATGCTGGCTCTCAAAATATCAAATACTTATAAATTGAAACAAAAATAAGTAGAAATACATGCTCACTAGCGAAATGTCGTACGGAAAATTTGAAATTACTAACTGAAAACTCAAATAAAGAAATTACTTAGAGATATACATGCATGGATTTATGGCAAGTCAAATACATAAAAGAATTAAGTGGTAGCTTTTACTTCAAAAACTGAAGCACCATAGTGAATCAAAAACTGTATGCGTCAACGTTGGTATGATTCTCTTTAGTTTTTCTTTCTTTGTATTTTTATACATAAAACACAGATATGGCCCCACCGGCCCTTCTCCTTTACGCATCTGGATTTTTCGCGTCGTTTCAGTCGTCGTGGTCGACGGGGAAGAAAGAAATGAATGAATGTTCTTTTGGGAAAATGTATAATAATACACCTACCAGCACTTATCAATAAGACATACGTATTCAATAGTTGTAAGCAGATATGTTAAAGTAGCTAATAGCTCACCTGAACTATGAAAACATCCGGCTTAGGAATTTTAACACAGAGATACCATAGGAGCATAAAAAACTGGACCAGTGGCTTAAGTATGAGCAATAAAGGATGGAGTATCTTTGGAAAACTTCTGGGGTTTGATGGCCACTGTGTCTGCATGATGCCAAAATACTCAAAAGTCAAATCACATAGACACAATCGAAGAGGATGTCTTTGAGCTTTTCACTCCAGAAACACAGCTAGATCATCCAGTTATTACCATTTCATTGATGTGAATAGATTTATGCTCTTTTACAGCAGAATGAGGGTCCGAACCTACTCAAAATTAAGAACTAAAAATCAGAATGACCAGGCAGGATATAGCCAAAAGAAAAACTATAACGTTTGGACGGGATTATTAAATTAAGCACTTATGCCAAGTGGTACAAAAATTTATGTAATTATGCACAATGTCTGGAATTTAAGTTTCACGTAGTTTCAAGCTGTTCTACACGTCAATGATAGAAGAATAGTATATCTGAAGAAAAATGAAACGGTAGAGCCAGTGATGTTACAATATTTAGGACAGTGATATGTAAGAAAAAAGAAAATTCATTCATCTTATCTAATAAAGCCTCTAATAGTGCTTCTTTACTTCTCCAGATCCTGCATGAATGTGAGATGCTTCGTGCACCAGGCTCCCCTTTTTTTCTTGAAAATCTTCTGACTTGGGGGTGTGTTTGCCCAACAGGGGGGAAGGATGTGTGGGGGAGTTAACAATTGTGGATTCTCACAGGAAGGCTTCAAACCGAATAGAGTATGAACTAAATACTCAACCTCTCCCACCCAAAGCGTGCATCCCTCCACTTCCATCCTTAAGCCCTTAACTCACAGAACACAACCTCTTCCTTCATTCCACGCACACCGCATTGCCTAAAAAATTCCCAATCATTGTCCATCATTGTCCATGTGCTCACCCCATTTCCCCACCCCAAAGTGCCTGAGTTGTATCCCCTTAGCCTTCATCATCATCTTATTCTGCTTCATTCAACCATGTTCCACAAACAGATTTAATCCATTTTATGTTATTTCAACTTTGTTGACAAATTTTTCCTGTATCTAAAAATTGAAACCATATTTTTGTATCATGCTCTTTTTATTTCATTTTTAAAATAGAAACGTAAACAAAAATAATCCTTTTTTTTCTTCCCAGACTAGAGGTGAAACGTGGTTTGGACATTACACAAACATTCGTATATTCAATGCTCATCAATAGTTTGGACATACGCAGCTAAAAGCATTCTTTATGAAACAATGCTTATCATGGGTTGTTACATGATACTTACCTCCATATGCAACAATGTCAACCTCTAGATGAGCCTGCATAAGGATAAGGATAAACATAAGAATATAAAGGGCCTGAATCAATGAAGTTCAGGTGTATCAACCACTAATTTTGAAAACATAAAAGTGGTTTTCTCATCATCACTTAAAACAGAAAAGATATATTACTATTTCTCTCTTACAATAACAAACATGCATCCATCATACTAAATAACATTAGTAGCTAATGGTAACACAGCATAATTGAAGTCTTCAAATAAATAAGACTGGAAGTCTGAAACAAAAGGCATCAGTCAACACAGAAGATTTTTACAATTCTATCGAATGACTGTTCTAGAGTATGTCAAAGCTAGTCTATTTAAGACCAATTACAACAGCAAAAATCTGACGATTTTTCTTTAATCTAAAAATATTTTCCTATATGATAACTTCACCAAGAACCTAGCAACCAGCCAGAAACAATTAACCTCACGTTCAGAGATTAATACTCAAACTTATACCCAGATATTTCATAACAGAACCTCCAAAATATGTAAAAATGCACTAATTTGGATTGATCATCTGCATAAGCTCCACCACTATCTCAAATTCTGAGTCCAATACAAAATAAGAAAACAAATAGAAGTATTTGTGTGTAAATTAAAAGGTGCATCCACTTCCTTCAATTCATGAATTCGGGGAAATCTCAGTAGCTAAGTTGGTTGGCTAAGTGAACTTTCATTTTGTTCCTAAGTGTTCAATACCCCCTTGTAATCCCTTTCTCTAACCCCTATGTAATAATATATAAAAAAAATCTGAACTTTCACCTTGTTAGTGAAGCTTCGATTCTCCAACTTCTAATCCCCTACCCCCTGTGTAATAATAGTATTAAAAAAAATAAAAATCATGGATTGGGTACCTGACGAGCAAGGGAAAGAGCATGATATTGCATACGAGGGCTACGTCCAATATCACCGAGAACGACTACCGCTGCTCTACCGCTGGGTCGGATCCTCGGTTCATTTTGTCCTAAATTCGTCAAATTTGATCGGTTTGAATGCATCAAAAAAATTGGGAAATTGTCGAAAATTAATTGAATTTCGTACCTGACATGATTTCTAAACAAAATTCTTACTTCCGGAACAGAAATTGAGATTAAAAATCCATTCCAGTTAGAGTGAAAGTACTCAGTTAAATACAGGGGAAATCGACGAAGATGAAGGAGATCCGAGGAGAGAAATGAAGAAATTAGGGGCGTGTTTGGTAAAATAGAAGGTAGAAAGTCAATTTTTTAATTTTTTTTAAAAAAAATTATATAAGTTGCTCGAATTAACACTTGAATATTACTCCCTCCGTCCACTATTATTTGTCATGATTTCTAAAAAGTCAAACTATCACCTTTGACTAACATTTTAAGATGTATTTATTCATCATATTGATATACAAAAAAAATATAATTTATCGTACTTTTCATATAGTTTTGAATATTTAATTTTTTTTCAAAATATCGAATTAATGTAATCTAGCATTATTAATTTTTTTTACCTTTTTTCAATGAAACACTCCATTGATTTGTTAATATAATTATTAATATTAATTTAATTGTTAATATAATTATTAATATTAATTTAATGTATATTTCTGAAAAACTACTTTTCACTCACTCAACTTTAAATAGTTAAATAGGAAGGACACAAACAGATAATAGTGTAGTTAAATAGGAAGGACACAAACAGATAATAGTGTTGTGTCTCTCGCTTATGGTCATTACTTATATTGAACCAAGTTCTTATCGAAAATAACTTTCTTTACCTCTCAAGGTATGAGTAAGGTCATCCGAAACTAATTTCTCTACCTCTCAAAATAGGAATAAGGTATGTGTACGTTCTACTCTCTCTAAATCCCCACTTGTGAAATTACAGTAGTATTTTGTAAAGCAATTGAGTATGCATTCCCAAAACATGGTGATGTGTGTATAAGATATCATTTTTTTGCCACCTTCATAATAATTTTGGATAAATTGTTGCAACTTTCACCAGACTGAACTTTAGTCCAAGGCAAAAAGGCCAGATCACATGATCATTGTTAGACTAAATAAAATAGGCAAGTATTTTAGAAAGAACACCCACTTTAATTCACAAGCACAACTCAAAACAGTAGAAAGGAGGCATCTAAAGAAGCATATAAGAAAGAACATCTTCAGGGCATCCAACTTTGGACAACTAAGTATATTGCACTAATAGTTGGTTGAATTTGGATTAATGTTAAAAGGGGGGTTTATTAACAATTCCAACTAGCTGTTATGATTCTGTATTTGAAGTTAAGAATTGCTTTCAACTTTATCGGGTTACTTCAACCACAGTGCAACCTAGATAAATGAAGTAACTGAAGCAGAAGAGTCTATCTCAATTTCGCTTTTTCTTCTGGGGCTTCTTCTTCTTTGCTGGAGCTGGAAAGACGGCACGAAATGTCCATGCAGCCATTATTGCTCCTACAAAGGGACAGATCCAGTAGACGTAAAACTGCTCCCATGTGTTGTGCATGTTGTTTATGTATGCCCAACCAAATGCCTGCAAATGTATAGCAGATAATCAGCTCACTTATGAACCCTTTAAGAACTCATGCAAGCAAAAAAGGAAGCAGATACATTGCTACAGCAGTGTTAATATAGGCATTTGTTCGATAAGAAAGTATCACTATCCTAGGACTTGACAAGAAAGTTCTGGGATACCCCAAACTATTTGATACACTTTGAATTCCTTTTTAAGAACTCAATATCTCGTTTGATATACAGTTACACAAAAGGTTTCAGAATTCGGTATGATTACACCGTCTGTGAAACTAAATTTACTACGAATATGGATAGCAGTCAAGCCAACACACTTTTGATCCACCTTGAGGTAACAGCTCTATTGCCACTTGTTTGTACCGACTATTTTGCTCATAGAATAGACTTGTTTACCAGGTCCTCTCTGTAATCAAGAAGGCAAGGTCTAGTCCTCGTTTCATATGTATCTTTTAACAGAGGCAATAGAATCATGAGCTGGTTGGAAATTAAAAAAAAAACTAACAAGCGACAGTATTACACCAAGTTTTACCATTTTTAGAGTATCAAAATTAATATAACAAAAGGATATTTATTATGTGTTTGCTTTCACTTGAGATTATTGTTGAGGAAAAGAAAAATCTCACTCCTTCTGAAAGTCAATCTCTACTAATTCAGTCCCCTACAACTAGTTGTCAAGCTACACAAGTTAATATGCAAGGAGAACTATGTTAGGTTGAAGGTGAGGCATAAAGTACCCTTTAAGGAAACTAAAAGTTAATATAGGGACATATGATTGGCTTGGTTGATCATCTTAATTAGATTCTTGATATGAAACTCATTTCCAATCTGACACCCTAAAAGAGAAGTGTCATTAGAGATTTGCAACTGCAGATATGACTGTAACTAGTCGTTACTTGTTAGACAGTAAAACTAATGCAAATAAAGATTTGCAATTCGTGTGACACAGCTACCTGAGAAAGGAAACATCAACTCACAGTGCAGGTACAGCCAAGAAATATGATTTTTTTTCTTACAAGTAAAAGCCAAGTCTGCTCAGATTGATAGATGTCATAGTTCAGATTTAAGGACAGATGGTATATAATGTTTGTCTAAATCCATTTTGTCGTTATCTTATTCCATTAGATAAGGAAAATATCAGGATCTTGTCAATTTCTGTCGTTATTTTATTCCATTAGATGAGGGCAAATATCAGGGTTCAAATTAGGTAACGTTCCATAAATTAAAATAGTTCAGATTGACAGGCATATATTCCTAATATGTTGTAGTTTTGGAACTACAACCAAAGAAGCCATTCTTGTCAATGTAAAAGACTTTATTTTTTCATACGACTGATCAGCGTAAGCTTCTCTTTGTAAGACAGAATTACTGCAATTAAGAATGATGAGCATAATGGAAAGAGCAAGTTACATTATAGCTAAGTTAAACGATTGCATCTTAAAGACAAAACTCTCTGCTATAGTTGAAGCTTTTCAACCAAATAGGGGGAGATACACCTGAAGAGGATAGGAAACTCCTTCACTGCTATGCAAAAAGAATCTATTTTGAAGTATCTTGCAACACTTTCTAACCAAAGTATTAAGGAAACCATTACTAAATCCAATGGAGTAAATCTCCACAAATCATTCCATTTTTAGTTATAAACCACATTCTCAATGTTAAGATAATGAAAGTTCACCCAAATGTAGATGCTACAACGATGTGTTATTCAGATAACAAAGCAAATTAAAACCTGAGTATAATATGGAATATCAAATGAATATAAGTGTTTGAACTATATATTAAGCTCCAAGATCTAAGAACAGCAAAAAGAGATAGTACTTACATTGGCTGGATTCATAGAAGGTCCAGTGTATTTTGAACCTGCAACTACCATGGTAACAGTTGACATTGCAAGTAACCAATTCTTTAGAAGTGCACTTTTAGGACCCTTCAGTACAATGATAAAGACCAGAAAGGTCATTACGAAAGTCAAGATGCCCTCCGCGATGGCTCCATTGTGCAAGTCAACTTTCAAGGAAGGCCCACCAAGCATGTGCTTGTACTGCGTAGGAATAACCTCCAATATTGCTACTGCACCAGCAACCGCACCAGCTGCCTGTAACAGTTCAATGACTATACAGAATTAGTTTCATGATGTAAAGACTAGGATGGATTCTTGAATTGGAAGTTCTAGAATTTATTCTGGGGAACTCTTCAACTTTGAACAGAACAATGTAAGACTTCTTTAGATAACCAGAAAAAACATGTAAAACTTGCCATAAAAATTGAAATTTAGGTGATCTATCTTGGATCTTATATATAATATTGCGTTCTTACGGGAAAAAGAGAGGGAAGGTGTAGTTTAGCGTCAATTTGAAATAATTACGAGACAATGAGCTTTCTCTATAAACAATTTTTTTTTGGCATCATCTATTTGTCCAATAGCCTCCTGCAATAAAAATAGTCACCCCGACATGACAAATGTAAGCAAAACCATATAGACAGTGAGCTACACCTAGCTTAGCCTATCTGATATCAGATCCGACAAGAGTTATTTTTGCTGATATTCTCCTCTCTACTAAAAGGAATTTTTCAGTCTATAAGGTAGGGCAAGTTATTGGCTATAACCAAAAGGAAGCAGACTGAGGCAAATGGACTCAACATCTAAACACTTGCCAAAAACAAAAAAGGAATCAACCTGAGTCAGAAAAGAGAGAAATATGTCTTTTTACAGCTTTAGCTAGACAAATCCAACTAGTTTTGGACATCGGGATATAGATAAAACTCTACTTCCATTACACTCAAAATTCAAGCAAAACAACAGCGGTGCCCCTCAGTTCCCTACATGAATATTCACTAACCATATTTCTCCATTTAAGCTCGACTCGAAATTCAAGCAAGCTCAACCATGTAAGTTACCTAACAACAGACCCAGAAAAGGTTTTTAAAAGTTCACTTCAAAAAGTGGAGCTACAAATGCTATTATTATAGGTTGATTTTTCAGAAAATTAAAACTCTATTTCCATTATTCCTCAAAATTCAAGCAAAATATAGAACAGAAACAAGTTCAGATCGACTATACAAATCCTCATTCACTACATCATATCTCTCCATTCAAGCAAAATCAACCATGTAAGAACTGCGCCCAGAAAAGATATAATCAAAAACCTGAGCAGGGAATCGGGTGGCAACGGTAAAAAGAGAATCTTTTCCAACCCCAGCAGCATAAAACGCCGCTGTACCAGCAGGATTAAAAGCGGCACCACCCAAAGCATCGCCGATAATCCCAAAGACAAAGAAGAGCATAAAAAGAAGCACAGTAGTAATAAATAGCGAAGCCATTCCTTGAGCAATCCCAAAAGCAGTAGCTATAAGGTAAGTGAAAATCCCCAGAGTGGATGAACAAAACACCCACATCAATGTCAACACAAAATCACCCACAGCTGCTTTTACAGCACCCATTGAATACAAAATCTTTGAAATTTTTGACTTTCTCTTAGCTTCTGAAAACTGAAATTCTCTCCCACTCGGTGAAAGAAGAAGGATATTGAGATGATTAACCTAATAGAGATTAATTAGAAGTATATTTCGTTGGGAATTTGGAATTAATTATGGGCTATTATAAAAGTAAATACTAATTAGGTGTGATAGCATTAAAATAGGTAAAGTATCGCCTTTTTTACGCTATTTTTACACTTCAATTATCAACTAAAATATTAACTTACATAATATTCCAAATTAATATGGTCAATTAAAAGCAAAAGGTGTATGAAATGAAGTAAGTATAACTAAAGATAAAGTTGAATAAATTCCATTAATACATACACAAATTTGTATTATTTATGAGGTTTAGATGTTTAATTTAATCTTGAAATTATAGTGAATGAATACTGTGTAAACTATAATGGTAAGTATGGATGAGTGTTTGGTAAGGATTAGGACAATATTGGCTGCTTTTAGTTGTTTAGTATTTCTTTGAATTCTATTTTGTTTGGTAATGTTCATTATATTCTTTGACTAAAAGCCATGAACCATCCAATCATATTGGTGGGAGGAATATTTTTAGTTTTTTTCTGCATTTTTAATTTGATTTCAATTAATATTTATGTTTTTATATTTCAAATATATATAAATAGAGACTTAAGTTTATATAAATTGATCAAATAAATATATATATATATCCTATCTAGCATAGTACGGGTGGGTAGAATGTTACATAGTATGTAAATTGTTATATAGAATATTAAGCATAATATATGTGTAGGATGTTACGTAGGACGTGAATTGTCCCATGAAATTTTAAAAAGAACACATGAGTAGAATGTTACGTAGAACGTGAATTGTCACATGAAATGTTAAGCAGAATACATGTGTTTACCTGTTTAATTTTATGCAAATTAATTTATCTATTTGTGCACATTCATAATTGAAGAACATAAATGTCGAATTATATTGAGGAAATTAAAATTCTAAGAGCTGATTTGATTAGAGAACAAGTTTTTCCACCATTAGTTTTAAAATTGTTATTTATCCTTAATGTAGAATAAAAATATCATTATCATTTTGATTAACTTATTCCATAATTTTATTTCAAATAGGTATGAAAATATGAAATAAACTTATTTTAAAATTAATTTCGAAATTGAAGCTAAAATCCATACCTGAGCAGGAAATCGAGCAGCAACGGAGAAGAGCGAATCCTTTCCAACTCCGGCAGCATAAAACGCGGCGGTAGCGGCGGGATTGAAGGCTGCGCCACCCAAAGCCTCAGCTATAACACTAAGCATTAGAAAGAGGAGGAAAACAATGAGAATAGTGATTGACAGAGATGCCAATCCAGGAGCGATTCCAAATGCAGATCTAATAATGTAAGTCAAAACCCCAATCGTTGAAACACAAAATATCGCAATAAATGTCATTACAAAATCAGCTACCACTGCTTTAACAACACCCATCTTCATCTTCAACTGAATCAACGACGAAGAAGAAGAGGGATTCAGATGTAAATCAATGCATTATATATTAGAGAAATGGAGATTAGTTAGAATTTAGAAGTATAGTAGGTAGGAATTGGGGATTATTTTTGTACAACTAATTAAGAATTGTTAATTGGAGAAGGTGTGCTCCACCAAATAAAAACTGCATACATTAAGAAAACATGTTAAATTTGGGAAATCATATTTCATATGTGATAACATAACTTGTTTGGATAGTTGTTATACGTCATATTCATTTAGAATAATACAGTAAGTAATCACTATTCAAACATAATGTTAATATAAGTTCAACATAAATTTTAAATATTTTTTCATTCAACTTTGAAATTAAACTCGTGAAAATGGAGTTTTTGGCGAAAAACATATTTCAACTATATCCAAACTTAAATTATATCAATTTTAGCAGAAGACATTGATGGTATTCGTGAACCTGTTTCAGGGTTTCTACTTTACGAAAACAACATTATTTCCGGTGCCATTATTCCTACTTCTGTAGCTATAGATTTACATTTTTACCCAATCTAGAAGCGACATTTGTTGGAGACTTCAGCTTCTAATAATGTAGAATGAAACTCAAATACGAGACATAATCAATATTTTGATCACTTTGATATTAGATTGACCAAAAAACCTATTCATTTAATTGGTTAAGAAAAAAGGTAAAAATAATTAATCTCCAACTTCATTTCTTTACGAAAAAGGCAAATCATGTGCACTCACACCTTCCAATCATTTTTAGTTTCAATGAGCAACAGTGTCTAAGATTTATTTTTAAAGAGCTTCTTTTAGAAAGTAATGAAATTTTCCAGAATAACTTTTGTTGATAGTCACGTTAACTACTCATTGTTTCATAAGATCTCTTAATTTTTTTTTGACAATATCTAATAAAATGATGAAAGTTGTTCACTTACAAAACTTAGAAGATGTTTCCTGCGAAAAATAATACTTTAAGGATATAGTTTAACTTTAGGATATAGTTAAAAAAAATTTTTTTACTAAAAATGATACATTAAGAATATAGTTTATGTTGAGATATAGTTAAAGAATGTTTTTGACCAAAATCTGTGAAAATACAAACATAAAAATTATATTGTATATAAGTCGAAGTATATACTTTATTCGATATAAAATTTAATAAATTTTGAATTACTAAATATAAGATTAAAAATTAATTTAATTATATAAAATTAAAGATCTAAAGTCGCAGATTCAAAATGTCAAATTATTAGAGGGTCGTGCAAGAGCACGTTGCTAGCAATTAGCATGTGCAAAGGATGACCATTAAATAAATAATATTTAGAGTATTTTATTATAATAGCTACATGACTTTGCTAGTGAGATAAAAGAATAAAAGTTACCAGATAAAATACGAGATTATCTTTATTATTTCATGTTAGGTTTAAAATATTAGTTAATTATAATTTATCTTATTTTATTATTTATATTAAAATAATTATATTAGTATCTCATATAAACAAAGGCAAATAATTGTTCTAAAATAAATATCCTACGTCTATAATTAGAAATGAATAGATTTTAGAATTTTTCTTTTATCTTTTATAAAATGATTTCTAACTATAAAGTAAGAAATCTTTTTTTTTTATAACTTTCATATTAAATTAAACGATATCATACGAATTGAATAGTGAATATAAATAGGTGGGAACTGGCTCGAGAATGACTTACGTGTTGGACAAACCTTAGCTTAATATATACATCCTTTATTTCAATCTGCTTGTCTTAGTACTTTCTTTTTAAATATGTTTCATAAAGGATATATTATTTTTCTAAGTAACATTTTTTTTACATAATATACTTAAAATTATAAAACTAAAGAGAACTTCATTATATTCAACGTATTATTACTTTAAAAGTTTTACAAGATTCAAAAATAGAACAAACAAATTAAAATGCAAGACGTGTATATATATATTTTGACTATAAGGTATCTAAAAACAATAAAAAAGATCTTTCTCCTATAACTTTCATGTTAAATCAAACGATATCATACAAACTGAAACGAATTGAATAGTGAATATGAATAGGTGGAACTAGCCCAAGAATGACTTACGTGCTGGACAAACCTTAGCTTAATATGTACTTCCTTTGTTTCAATCTGCTTATCATAATACTTTATTTTTAAGTCTGTTTCATAAAGGATATATTATTTTTCTAATTAAATTTTTTTTACATAATATACTTAAAATTATAAAACTAAAGAGAACTTCATTATATTCAAGGTATTATTAGTTTAAAAGTTACAAAATTCAAAAATTTATGTGCCAACATAAAATCAAACAAACAAATTAAAATGCAAAACATGTATATATATATATATATATACATATATATATATATATATAGGGTTGTTCATGATTATGGTTAATAACCGAATTAAATCGATGTTTAGTTTAGTTTGGTTAGATTTGGTTTTTAAATTTTGAAAATTGATACTATTTGATTTGATTTTGATTTTACTAAAAATCAACCAAAAAAATAATCAAACCAAACCGATAAATTAGATATACAAATTTTATAATTATTTTTATAGAATTCATAAATAAATTAAAAATATTTTATTAAAATTTTAATTAACTTAAGTCTCTAATTTTATCATTTTCTCAAGCACAACAATCTCACATCCAAGTCCATCAAAGTTCATTTTAGTCTTTATATATTACTGTACTTCACATAAAATAGTCATACATTAATATTGTTTAATTGCTTGACTGAACCGACATTAGTTTTTCTGTAGATTGTTCATGTCATTGGTGTTTGTATTTATCGAGATACTTACGTTCTCAAAAAAATTATTACTTTCAAATCGAGTACACCATAAAAATTGAACCACATCGAAACAAACAGACAATAAACATATCAATAATTATTTTTTTGTTTGATTTAAAAATTTAAAAAACCAACTAAATTGATTTAATTTTAATTTTAATCAATAATCACTTTAAATCGAACCACGAACACAAATATATAAGGTGAATCGGCCACCGACTTGCAAATCCCGATAACTTTGCACCATCTGTTTCAGGTGATGTGATCCATTATGGGCGCCTACAAACTCGTTTAATATCCAAGAATACCCTACTGCATTTGACTTCTATTTAAGATATTTAAGCCATCAATTTAACAAGACGTGTCCTTTCATCTTTCTCAAAAAGGACCACTCATCAAAGAGTTTAATATCTCAAATTCTAAAATCAGTCACTTATGATTGTATCAATGTGTCTGGCCTTTCCTTCGAATAATATAAACGCAAAGATATTTTATGTATTAAACTGATGATACTAATTGAATTATGAATAAATTGTTACAGAGAGTTTTATATGGAATACGAATTTGAAAGATGATATTAATAAGTATATCAAGATAAATTGTCGATGTTATATTTTTTTTAATATAATGTAATAACCTTAAGTAAAAGCGAGATGCTATATGTAAAGCATGATATGGTAATGAGAAAATAGAGTAAAAACAGCAACAACCTTTTATGTGAAGAGATTCTGTTTCCACCTTCACTTATACTCAATTTCCTCTTATTTCTTGTTTCTTTAATACACTTTTCAAATCTATCATCATTTCAGTTCTTTTCTCAAAATTCCTATTCTTTTTTCTTTCTTCTCTTTGCTCAAAATAACATTTTTTTTTGCATCAATAAGTCAATTGAATTTCCAAGATTCTGCTTACCATCAACCAAACTTATCATCCTTTTCAATAAAAAACTTTCTTTTATTGAAAAGATTGAAACTTTCCACTCTGAGAACAACTTCAGTAAAACATCCTATCATTTTTTTTCTCTCACTTTGTTCAAAATACCATTTTTTTTTTCAACAATAAGTCACTTGTATTTCCAAGATTCTTCTTACCCATCACTCAAAATCCATTTTTTTTCAATATTTTAGGCAAAAGATTGAATCTTTTTCTTGTGAGGATATTGACAAACATGTTGAAACATGGGTTTTTAGTAGTATTAGCTTTTATGGGGTATTGGATTGATCATAATATATGTGTTGAAGGCTTTGGAGTCAATTGGGGAACAATGGCAACACACATGTTGGAACCTAAAATACTTGTGCAAATGTTGAGGGACAATGGTATTAAGAAAGTGAAGTTGTTTGATGCAGATAAATCCACTATGGATGCACTTGCAGGTACTAGTCTAGTACAAGTTTGTTAACGAGTTCGATAAAATCCAATATCTTTATTTTATTCGGTATTTATAAACTCAATAAATTCTGGCTCTGTCACTGTCTGTAGGTACTGATATTGAAGTTATGGTTGCGATTCCCAATGATCAACTTCTTACTATGACTGATATTGATCGAGCTAAAGATTGGGTCAGACGTAATGTCACTCGTTACAATTTCAAAAATGGTGTCAACATCAAGTAAAAACTACATCTTTTCTTACTCCTTTCATTTCACATTCTGGTTTGCTCGAGTCAGTTTGTGTAGTTTTCACTATTCTATCGACTATTAACTTCATTAACTACTAGGCTACGCCGATAAATAACATTTTACCGTTCAATTTTACTTACATGATTGCAATTATATATCCTTCAAGTCAACTTACTTCATCTTTTTTAGCTTGGAACCCTGTTTTTAATGCTATGTTTATGAACTATCTGATTAAGTGATTTATTTTGACATTGTAACTTTGTTCTTGTTCTACGCTTCTATCATGTGATCTATGCTGACGATTTATTTAGATTCATCGATTCAGAATGAACGTGATCTTATTACTTCTTTTTCACTCTCCATGTGCTGTGTTCCAGCTTGCTTAGTGTTCAAAAAGTAAATGCAAGACATGTGGATCTGTGCATAGAGTTGGAGTCTTTTTTTATTTGGTCCAGCACTTTATGAGTCCAATGGTCCAATTTGCCTTAAATGTTGTGTCTTCAGATTAAAGCCCACTCGTGGAATTACACTGGATATGTTATTGTTGTTGTTAGTTAAGAAAATGTATTAAAGAAGCACAGTCATTATTTGCAAGTTGAAGTATGGCCATCAATATTTGCATATGCTGAACTTCCATATATTCGAAATACTTGCATATGCTGATTCGAGTGAAATCACAGTTTTCGTTCAACTTATTTTAAGTGAAGTTCATGTCCAAATACTCGTTTTTTCAACTTCAACCAAGT